GGAGCACTAAGCAGAGGGAACGGCACACAGCACAGAGAGCACTCAGCACGGAGGGAGCACTCAGCACTGGGAGCACTAAGCATGGAGGGAGCACTCGGCACAGAGAGCACTGAGCATGGAGGGAGCACTTGGCACAGAGAGCACTCAGCACAGAGAGCACTCAGCATGGAGGGAGCACTCGGCACTGGGAGCAGCACGGAGAGCACCGGGCACGGAGAGCAGTTGGTAAGTCGTCCTTCTGGGTGGCTCGCTGGCCAGTGCGCCGGGTTGGGTACTTGTGGCCATAACTGTCGGCACTGAGCACTTTGCACCCATCTACTTCATGAGTCCCTTAACCGCCCCTCTTGGCGGATACCCAGGAGCGCCCATCTGCTGAGCCGCACGTGGGAGCGAGTGGGGCTCCGTGCGCACTCACACCTGCGGTGGCACCAGAGAAACCGAAGCTCCGGGGTTTGAAGGACGTGCCCAGGCAGCGCAGCACAGGGTTTCAGTTCAACCTGCTGGCTGGCTGCGCTCTCGGCCCTCAGGGAAACCCCCATCCTGCACCACAGCTAAAGGCACCCGCAGCAGGCGCGAGCTCAGTGACACAGCCGCTGTCAGAAGCAGCAACTTCGCTTCCCTAGGTCAGCCTGGCTTGTCTCAGAGCCTTCCGCCTGGACCCTCTCCCTGGGGCAGTCTGCGATTCTGAATGCCACCCCGTGCCGGCTCCTGACCACACGGTGGCTGCAGCCCTGGGCTGGACAGGTTGGGGCGGGGCTCCATGGGCTCCGCTCTCACCTCCCGCTCCCCATCCTTCCTAGTCTGAGAAGCCCGGCGAGGCCACAGAATCAGACTCCGCCCTCTGGGATCAGCCAATCGCTTGTCCTGGAAGCGAGGAGGCGACTTGGAGAGTCCACCACCACCTCACAGCCTTTTCCCAACACGACACTGCACAAGACCTGCACTTCTGTGCAGCAGGCACGTCCACAGTGCAGCTCCTCCAACTGCAGCTCACACTCTGCCCCACGACGACTGCAGTTCACACACACGCTGCGGCCAGGCCTCCCGGGCAGGCCTCGACCGCTCTCAGCTCACCCCTGCCGAGGCCCCTCACCAAGAACCCCGAGCACGGCCGTGGGGCCGGGCCCCGTCCCCGCTCTCACAGGGCCAACCCGAGTGTCCGGGTCCCGGCTCCCTCGCAGGACTCACGCTGCTGCGCGCCCCCTCAGGGGGCCCTGGCGGCTCCTGCGCAGCCGGCTTCCGAGCCCAGGGGCCGTCCTGGTGTGGCCGGAGTCACTCGCTGACCCCCTTCCTAGGGGCTGTGCACTCGGCTGTGTGCAGGGCGGGCAGTGCCCGGGAGCCCCGAAGACCAGTCTTGATGGCTCCAAAAATAGACTCTGAAAGCCAGAGCGCCCCGAGCGGAGTGGAGATTTAATTTAGACAGCGAGGGAGGAGGCTCCAGGTTAAACTGACAGCAGCTTCCCACCCGTGACCTGACTCTGAACTGAGCAGCCAGGTCCCCACAGGGGGCAGCAGCCCCTGACCCCCGTGAACACTGCCTGGGGACAAGAAAAACACCAGGTGACCGCCTGGGCCTGAGCTGGGTCCCGGCAGTTCACACGCGAACACTGCACAGAGCTGGCTCCCCAGGGACTCACCTTCCAGTCCACGCGTCTCAGGCAGCCCCTCAGCGTCCCTGTTCCGCTCTGGTCTTCTGCCACGTTCTCAAGAGCCACTCCCAGGAGTCACGAGACACAACGCTGACCTTCTCACGTCCTCTCTTCCTCTGCGAAGCAGGTCTCTGAAGTTGGCGGGATTTGCATCCCGGACCCCAGAGCAGAGACGAAATCCCCTGGTGCCTGGCTCTGCTCGCCTGGGCCGTGAGCACAGAGGCCGCGATGCCCTCACTCACCACCGGTCCACCAAGCACAGCACCCGGGCAACGCTGTGGGCTGCAGGAAGCGACATGCTAAAGGTGAGCAGACGGAAGCAAGCTTGCACAGTGGACGCGGTGCCTCGGGCGCCCTGGGCTGCGGTGAAGCCGTGGGGAAGGAGGGAGCAGGTGGCGCCCTGGGGGCGGAGCCGCAGGTGAGGCCACTGTCCCGGCTCCCTCGCCACTGAACACAGCACACAGCACCTGTCACGGGGTGCCGAATGCAACGCTTGTGCAGAGAGGACGGTGAACTCCAGCAGCTCCCAGCCGGGAGGGAGAAGGCAGAGAACGGAGCACCTGTGTGCCCCGGGGCCTCATCCAGGTCGCAGGCTCAGCACTCTGCCTGTCGGCTCCACGCTGCGAGACCACACTGGGCATCCAGAGCCCAGAAACGCTGCAGAGCCACCGCCACAAAGCCCAGGCCTTTCTCAGAGCAGGAGACGTGTGCCAGCCGCACGAGGACAAGCCACTGCTGCGTGTGCACGTGCGCGTGTGTGTGTGTGTGTGTGTGGCCACTGCCACCCATCCACACAGTCACTTCCTCACCGGGCTAAAGGCTCACAACACATCCAGCTCAGGCTTGGTGGCGGCACAGACGCTGCTCTGGTTGGAGGCGGCTCGCTCGGGGGCGCCAGCACCTGTGAGTGACTTCTGCCCGGGGCTGCTGCCAGCCAGCCTCGCGGGCCTGCAGGAAGACTCCTCAGTGAGGGAGGGGCTGGGCTGGGAAGAGCGTGCGCAGCACGGGGTTTTGGCCACAGCAGCTGAGACCTTTTACTAATGATGACGCTTCTGCAGGTTTCCGCATTTCCCAGTCTGCTCCCTTCACCCACCGAGGGTCAAGTCCACAGCTCTGGCGACCTGAGGTCAGCTGGTCCAGGGAGCTGTGAGCAGACCGGGAGCCAGGCATGACGTCCTGAGGCCCTGAGCTGGTCCCTCGTTTCCACGGCCACACCACGGGCAGCGTCTGAAGCAGGGCGTGTCAACACTGCAGTGTCCTCAAGAGACAGGCAGACCCTCCACAACTTGCCCTGCCCTCCTCCCCACCCCTGCTGAGGGCCCTGGGCCCTGCAGGCTCCTCATGCGCTCAGAGACCCTGCCTCTGCCCGGCCGTGTTCCTGTCCACCCCCGACGGCCAGCTGCAGAGGCGCCAGGCAGCCCCCACTCTCAGCACTGCCTCTGACTCCCCGCCTCGCAGCTGCCTGCCATGAGGTCCCTGGGCCGGGGTGGAGAGGTCCTGCACTCGGCCAGACGCCAGGGTAAGGCACCCCTGACCTGGGTGTGCTGTATTTGTTCTAACAAGACACGGCACTCCAAAGGTGTCCCACACTCATCAGGTGACAACAAAATGCCACACTGGGGGCACAGCAACAAGAGCTCTCTCACTTCAGAAGGAGGGCAAATCCCAGGTCAAGGTCTAGGCCACCGCCTGGACGTCCTCCCTCCCCCCAGCCGTCGGACAAGCTGCCCCGTGGAGCTCTCTCACTTCAGAAGGAGGGCAAATCCAAGGTCAAGGTCTAGGCCACCGCCTGGACGTCCTCCCTCGCCCCAGCCGTCGGACAAGCTGCCCCGTGGAGCTCTCTCACTTCAGAAGGAGGGCAAATCCAAGGTCAAGGTCTAGGCCACCGCCTGGACGTCCTCCCTCCCCCCAGCCGTCGGACAAGCTGCCCCGTGCCCCCTCCAGACACTGCTGGCTCACCCGTCTCCCGGCAGCACTGTGCTTGTGTTCCTGCGGCTAAGCCCCCCCCCACACACACACCGTAAATGCTCAGGATTGGGTGCATGCCTGAGGGAACGCTCTGGGTCCCCACCCGCACACCTGTCTCCCCCACACCCCCGTGGCTACAGCAGGGCAGATGGAGGGGTGCCCAGGGCCAAGCTACGTTATCCGAGAAAGGAAGCCCTCGACGTTCAGAGAACCGGGGGCAGGCGGGTGGCGCTGCGGCCAGGGACACCCGCGTCCACAGCGGAGTGCAGGTTTGAGTCCCTGCTACGGCTGCCGACCCAGCTTGCGTGCGTGCACCCTGGGAGGCAACAAGAGCCTGGGCGCCTGTCACCCACACGGGAGGCCCACAGGGCTCCAAACTCCTGGATTCTGCTGCCTGCAGACCCCTGGATGTGCCCTGCTCGTCCCAGCAGGGGAGCTGTGTGCCTCGAGGTGTCCGACATCACACTGTCACCTCATTACCCTGAGATCCTGGAGGGCAGGGACCGTGGCTGAGTTTTATACTAGCATGGTGCCTGGAACAGCAGGTGCGAAGCCGGACTGAAAACCAAGTCCACCCACCAGGGACCTCTGTCACCAGGTGGCCCATCACTGTCTCATGTGGAGATGCAGTGAGGCTGTGCGCCGCTGACCACTGGCCGTGGGCACGTCCCCAAACCACTTCCTTCCCGCCCCACACTCCTCAGGTAACCCATCCAATTCCGAGGCCTCACTCCCAACCCAAACACCACCCTAGTCAACTCCACTGCACCCCAGGCATCAGGAGGCCGACAGGTCCCCGCGGCACCTTCCCACCACTCTGCCACCCACCTGACTCCCACCTGCACACGTGCTACTGGTGCTTCAAACGCGACGGGTGCTCATGACCAGTCTCCACAGTTAAGTTGGCATTACCGACATTTACTGTTTGCCCAAATTTTGCTAGCCTGCTACACTCCCACTCTGATTCCTGTGTTACCCACAACTGAACTCCTACTGCAGGCAAAGCACTGCGCAGGCCCCGCGCAGACCCCGGGGCAGTGGGTCCCAACCCCACATGGACACACCAGACGCCAACTCACAGCCACACGGACATGCGCCCTACACACCCCGCAGCGTCGGCACATAAGGACGCTGGACCTGTGCTAAGTCTCCTTTCCGCACAAACACCAACAGCACAGGCCCACAAGCAGAGACGCTCGTCAAGTCAAAAGCTGTACAAGGAAACCCTCGCCACCTGCCTCGCTCCTACTGTAGAAGACAACCTCGCTCACCTGCTCCAAAGCAGCCTGGTCGCGTGGCCAGACACTCCAGAAAATAAAAGATAACGGAACATTTGTGGCGTGCGGGGAAATGTACGTAAAATGACTGACAGAACACTGATCCTTATAAATATACTTCATTGCATACATTTTTATTTTCAGAACAAAACATATAAATAGTTCATCTGAATAATACATTTCTCACAAGTTAAATCACAATGCACACTATGGTTAATCAGCTTATCTCCAAAAACAGTCCTTTCTGGTTTCATTTATTTCCTTAAAAAGCAACACACTTTATTTTCAGTAGAAAAATGTACATTAAATTCACAGTGACTCCAGCAAAGGGAGCTCAGCCGCCGTACCTCTTCCTGAGGTCCTCAAGGGAGCTGCCCCCCAGCCCTGCTCCGTCCACGTGCCCGAGCAGCGCACGCACAGCTGAAAGAGAAAGCAGATCCTCCACTCGGGTCTCGTCCTACAGGGAGCCACCCGGCCACCAAACCACGTCGTCCACACACGCTCACCACGTCTCCCGCGGGGCCTCCCACCACACAGCCCCAAGGAGCTGACCCGGACACTGTCCTCCAGGAGGCGAGTGTGCACTGCAGGAAATCCACAGGGAGCACAGCGGCTACAAAGCCAGCGCTCCTACCGCTAGTGCTGGGCAGGGCGGGCGGCGAGGAGGGAACCAAACGCACAAGTTCCAAGGTCAAGGTCTAGGGGACAAACACGAAGTCCCTGGCACAGAGCCCGCGGCAGCGCAGCAACAGCAGGGGGTGGGGGCACGCCTGAGGGCTTCAGGGGACGCCCCGGGGAACTGAGGCGGCAGCAGCCGTGTGTCTGCAGTGGCACGTCCAGCTGAGGACGAGGGCCCGCCTGCTCAGGGTCCCCACAGAACCCACCAGGAAGAAAAGGACACCCACGAGCTTTGCTTTCTGCTGACTGCTACGCTTCAAAGCTGCCTCTCTCGAGTCAACGACTCTCCTCAAAGCACAGAGCAGCCCGAAACGCTGGCTGACTTCAAGCTTCCTAAAGCTGACTCCTGCAGCCACACACAGCAGCTGCCCGCCCCCAGGCCCCAGAGCCACCTGCCCCCTGGCCAGGCTCCCTCCTCCTCAGAGCCTCTGCCCGTGGGGCCCTCAGCTGAAAACCCCCGTCCCCACCCCTCCTTCACCTAGCCAACCACTGCAGTGCTTCGAGAATCCAGCTGAAACCAAGCAAATGCAAGGAAATCACCTCTCACAGGGCAGACGGCCCGGGTACCAGCCCACGCAGGGCCCACGAGGGCAGGAACCCCTCCACGCCAATGACCGCCTTCTCCACAGGAGAGCCCAGGCTGCCTGGGTCAGCAGGGTCCAGCTTTCTCACTGTGCGAGCTGCGTCACCTCTGCTATGCCTCAGCCTCCTCTTTCGTACAACACAGAGGATGCGCACACCCGCACCTCCTGATGCAGTCAGGACTGAAAACCACAGCTGTACTGTGCTGGCGCAGCAGGTTAAGCCACTGCCTGAACGCCAGCATCCGCCAGCAGCAATGGTGCGAGTCCTGGCTGCTCCAGTTCCAGTGCGGCTCCCTGCTGGTGCTCCTGGGAAAGCAGAAGATGGCCCTGCCACCCATGTGAGGGACCCGGGGGAAGCTCCTGGCTCCTCCTAGCTCTGGCCTGGCCCAGCCCTGGCCACTGCTGCCACTGCGGAGAGAACCAGCGCATGGAAGACCTCTGTCTGTCTGTCTGTCTCTCCCCCGCCCCCCTGGAACTCATTCAGATAAATCCCTAAAAAATAAATAAATTACTCCATTTAACTTAATTATAATTACTGTCTAATTACACTTACTTTTTATATGTGCTATGATTTCATGAATGAATAAAGGAATACACCAGAAGAGAGACATGAAAAAGCTTCTTCCTAGAACTTACTCCTTTTTTCTGGTTCTGACATAAACATCACGGCCATTTCAAACCTTTTCAGTTCAGAAAGTCTCAGTAGGATTTCAAAGATGAGTGATGGCTCTTCCCTCCTGAAATGATTCAAATAAAAAACAAACGCTCAGTTACGAGTAGCTCACTTGGTTCAACTCACTGACACAGTACTTCCAATCGTATGTAAACCAGGAAGGGGTTCCCTTCATCCCTGGATAAGGTCTACACGTAGGCAATAGAGATCCAACACTGAGGCAGTCCGTGAGGACCCTGACACTCGGTGTAGACGGCGAAAACCCTTATACTCAGTGCAGACAACGGTGAGGACCCTGACACTCGGTGTAGACGGTGAAAACCCTTATACTCAGTGCAGACAACGGTGAGGACCCTGACACTCAGACAATGAGAACTCTGACACTCGGTGTGCACAGTGAGGACCCTGACACTCGGTGTACACAGTGAGAACCCTGACACTTGGTGTACACAGTGAGAACCCTGACACTTGGTATACACAGTGAGGACCCTGACACTCAGTGTAGACGGTGAAGGATCCTGACATGCGGTATACACGGTTAGGACCCTGACACTCGGTGCAGACGGTGAGGATCCTGACATTTGGTGTAGACAGTGAGGATATTGACATTCAGTGTAGATGGTGAGGACCCTGACACCCAGTGTTGAGTAGCTATGATACGTAAGTGTGTCATCAAGTCAACGAGGAGATCTAAAGCTCATATGAGAACTCAGCACACACATTGGCTCCACTCGAACCCTGGCCATTTCCATACCTACTTTTTCCTATGAAGAACTTAACAAATCCTTTTTCCCTTTTAACTGTCTGTTCTTGTCATCTCTTTACAACTTCCGTAACGATAGAGAATTTACTAGAAAGCTAATTCTGCTATGTGCAAGTTATTAATGTGACATCAAAGAGAACAAATGCCTCCATCACTGAAAATAGCGTGACAAGAATTTGAGTTTGGGGAGTACTCCAACCCAAAACCCAAAACCCCAAAGTTTCCTAACTCCATGACACCACAGTAGAAAATTCCACACCATAAAGCCTGTCTCATGCACAAAATTATTTAACTTTTTATTTAATAAATATAAATTTACAAAGTACAACTTTTGGATTATAGCAGCCTTTTGCCCCCATAACCACCTTCCCACCCGCAACTATCCCATCTCCCACTCCCTCTCCCATCCCATTCTTCATCAAGATTCATTTTCAATTATCTTTACATACAGAAGAGCAATTTAGTATATACTAAGTATAGATTTCAACAGTTTGCACCTACACAGAAACACAAAGTAGAAAGTACTGTTTGAGTATTAGTTATGCCATTAATTCACATAGTACAACACATTAAGGACAGAGATCCTACATGGGGAGTAAGTGCACAGTGACTCCTGTTGTTGATTTAACAACTGACACTCTTGTTCATGGTGTCAGTAATCACCCTTGGCTCTTGTCATGAGCTGCCAAGGCTATGGAAGTCTCTTAAGTTCACCAACTCCAATCTTAGTCAGTCAAAGCCATAATCAAAGTGGAAGTTCTCTCCTCCCTTCAGAGAAAGGTACCTCCTTCTTTGATGACCTGTTCTTTCCACTGGGATCTCACTCTCAGAGATCTTTCATTTAGGTCTTTTTTTTTTTTTTTTTTTTGGCCACAGTGTCTTGGCTTTCCATGAAACCCTGAAATACTCTCATGGGCTTTTTAGCCAGATCCAAATGCTTCAAGGGCTGATTCTGAGGCCAAAGTGCTGTTTAGGACATCTGCCATTCTATGAGTCTGCTGTGTGTCCCGCTTCCCATGTTGGATTGTTCTCTCCTTTTTAGTTCTATCAGTTAGTATTAGCAGACACTATTCTTGTTTATGTGATCCTTTTGACTCTTAATCCTATCATTATGATGAATTATGAACTGAAACTGATCACTTTGACTAGTGAGATGGTACATGCCACCTTGATGGGATTGAACTGGAATCCCCTGGCACGTTTCTAACTCTACCAATGGGGTAAGTCTGATTGAGCATGTTCATGCATAAAATTATTAAAAATATTACATAAAATTACCTTCAGGCTGTGTGTGACACAGAAATGAACCCTGTGCTCACATTCTAGTCCCACCCCCACTAGATCTCACTGCACATATACCAACAGTCCCATGTTCACAACCCAAAACACACTGGTCCTAAGCGTTTCACAAGGGACCCTCAACCTGGGAAACTACAAAAGTCAACTTACTCAATATAAAAGTCGTGCAGAATCTTCACGATTTGGTTGAACACATCTGGTTCTAGATTCTTTTGAAACAGCTTAGGGTACAGGGATGGCTCAATTTGCTTGGGAAAAATATCAGAGAGTTAGAAAACTAAATGATGGCAACATTCACGTACCACAATTACACAACTGCTGAGGTGAAACAGAGAAGAGTTAACCCCGACGCCCCAGCACCACTGAAACGCACCAGCAGTGGGAGGCCACTCCAGGGAGGCGGACAGAGACCCCTGCCCTCTCAGGGAAGGGAGACTACCACCTGATCGGGACCTGTGAGAGCTTCTGCAAGCAATGAATACTGAAGGGTTAAAAAGTTAAAAGCCGCTCCCCTCCCCTCCTCTGGTGAACTTTCCTGACCTCCTTAGACTTGCTCTGCATAGCCATTCTCTTTAAGGTCAGTCAGTCAGTGAATTACCCCAATGTAAACGTAACCTTAGTTTCACCTAAGTAGGATAGAAGGAGTCACTGTTTATCTTTTTGCTCCTGGAACTCTGACCCCACCATATGTCCCTTATCGCCATTCGGCTGCATTCCTAGGTATCATCGAGGCAGTTCCCGTAACCTTGTTGTGTGGCCCTCCCTTTTGGTAATAGGAGGCTTTTTGATCCTCCCTATATAGGCCATATGGTTCTCTGATGTCTAATCAAGCCCTACTCGATATCCTGTACTCCCTGTATTCATAAATCAACTGATTGTAAAATCACTTAACTTGTATCAATTGTTTACTCTGTACCGAGTGTTTGATCTATGCAATGATTGATTTTCTTTGTTTAAACGTGTATAAAAACCCCGACCCTCGACTTCTCGCGGCCGCCTGTCTTCTTACACTCAGGGGCCCCAACATGTTGGATCATCAATAAACCTTACCCTTTGTTAACTGCATGAGAGAATGCCTCTTGGAATCGTTCCTTGGGCGGTGGACGTTTTTCAACTCTTACAATACAACTAGAGACTCGAACACATGGAATCACACAAGAAGACGCATTTGAAGGGCCAGGTACTGTGCAATCCTGAGGCAGTGTTGCTGTCATCAACTGGGCAAGACTACGCTAGCCCACTGTTTACTGAATGTCTTCAGACCAGACTCCCCAAGGGCACAACCAGCTCATATTCAGGAGGACAGCGGCCAAGCACTGCGAGTGCCATGCAGCACGGGACAGAACTTGTGTTTCAACTTCCTGTCTGCATCTCCACCGGGAAGAGCTGAACTCAAGTGATGACAGATGAAATCAGATTCAGCTGCTTTAGAGTTTAGAATTAACGCAGAGCCTGTTGCCAAGGAGTGTCAAGGTGTCCGCAGGCGCTGGGCAAGGGGTGAAGGCAGCTGCGCAGAGACTATGCAGTGACTAAGCGGCCTCTGGCCTTTCCATGACAACAGCTCTCCCTCTCTTACCTTCAAGTACTGGTACAACACATCCGGACAACTTCTCAGTCGCCTGAAGTCGGATTCGAGCTGGAAGGAGTTCGCAGGAACCGGAGGGAGCGCTGCCGTGGCCAGGTGAGGAGGCGCCAGTCCCACCCCTGCAGCCGACTTCTCCGGGGGCGAATGCTGCACGCCCTGCCTCAGCCTGGCCTGGGGGCTGCAACAGTTCACAGGCATCAGCCATCGGAGAAGCGCCAGTCAGAGCCGAACAAAGGGAACGTCAGCAGAGGCGTTTACCTGCTCACTATGTAACTACCGTGCAGCTGCTTGTACCCTGAAAGGACTAAATCCTTTGGCCAGCAATATTTGTACACTGCTGACAAAACAGACCGTGTCCTTCCCGGCCAAGGGTGAGCATCTCACTGTGGGGTGACGAGCAAGGCCACCTTTGGGGCACATCGCCCACCTGCTGCGGCCCACTGCACAGGCCCACAAGCCCGCCTTTCAGAACTCGGAATCACCACAGTTTTGAGATACTCCCTGGAAGAAGAAACACTTCTTACTTGAACAAAAAGGCTGCCTAGTTTCCGTCTTCTCACATCCATCTATCACGATATAAAACTACTTCTGAAGTCAAAGTCTAAAAACCAAAACACCAAACAGGTTTAGTGGGTGGCACTGTAACAGATGAATAAAATTTCAAATTTAAATGTAAACCTACTCATCTATATCTTCTATTTTATCATCACTAATGAAAACAGAGACTACCATTTCAAATTCTCAACAGCGAAACATTTATGTTGAAGTTCTAGAAGAGAATCAACAAAATCAATTTATTCACTTTCTCCTCATCTCTAAGGCCCGCCCACAGTAAACCAGAGCGGAAGAGAACCTGAGCAGAGCAGCTCACACAGAAGGTGAAGAGTCAGGGACGGGTCCTCCTGCTTAGCCTAATGTCGTGCAACACCACACCCACTTACACCGTGACACAGCCACTCACCGCATCACTCACACAGCGATCTGTCCACTCACTGCAGGCCCCGGTGTCACCCCACCACGCACACAGCAACATGGCCACCCACTGCAGGCCCCGGTGTCACCCCACCACGCACACAGCAACATGGCCACCCACTGCAGGCCCCGGTGTCACCCCACCACTCACACAGCAACATGGCCACCCACTGCAGGCCCCGGTGTCACCCCACCACTCACACAGCGGCACGGCCACTCACCGCAAGCCCGAGGTGTCGCTTCCTTCTTCGATTTTCAACACTTTAGCTTTTGGAGTGTCACTGGTGGGCAAAGCACCATCCTGGCTGGAATTCTTCTTACTTGCTATGCCTGGGACAGCTGCTGTGTGTGCCCCACTGACGGGAGCCTCCTGGGGGGTGGCGGTGGCTGTGCTGTCTGCCTCTTGGAGCAGGTCTACCACGTGTCCAGTTTCCTCAATAACAACCTTCCTGAGTGGTTTCTAGATCAATCAGAATCAATTCTTTAATCAGCACACTGAAGAGCCACAGTCAAAGGCTACAGCGCTGCGGCAGCTGACACACTTATAAACGAATCCAACGCAGTGTCGGACAGATGAGGAATGACATCGTGTGAGACGCAGGTGTCCGGGGAAAGATGTGCAGGTAAAAGAAGTCACCAGGCACTGGTGAGAGAACCAATGCTAAGGAAACAGGCAGGAAGGTGGAGCTGGCTTAGCGAAGGCTTCAGACAGGTCACGGCTCAGCAAGCAGCAGGGGCAGAGCGGCGGCGAGGAAGAGCCGGGGAAGGCTACTCGTCCACAGCTCGAGTGGCTCGAGCGACCCGCGTGCTTGCCCGCACTCTGCATTTACTCAGACACCCAAACCACCGGGAACAGAGTAGACACGGGCAAGAGCCCGCTCCACACTGCAGGGCCGGGCTCCTGACACCAGCGCCCTGCTCGTGCAGACACTGGAGGCAGCAGCAAGGGCTCAAGTGACTACACATGGGAGACCTGCATTCAGTTCAAGGCTTCCAGTTCAAGCCCCGGCCAAGCCCCAGCCCTGACTGTTGTAGGCATCTGGGGAGTGAATCAGCAGATGGGAGCTCCATCTGTCTCTCCCCCTCTCCTCTCAAAATAAGCTAATTTATCAATTTTATTTTTAAAAGATGTATTTATTTATTTATTTCAAAGGCAGAAATACAGAGAGAGGAGAGAAAGAGGTCTTCCATCTGCTGGTTCACTCCCCAGATTGCCGCAACTGAAGCCAGGAGCCAGGAGCTTCTTCTGGATCTCCCACATGGGTGCAGGGGCCCAAGTACTTGAGCCATCTTCTGCTGCTTTCCCAGGCACATTAGCAAGGAGCTACACTGGAAGTGTAGCAGGCAGGACTTGAACCGGCGCCTATCAGGAGCCTTCAAAAGCCTTACAAAAAGCAGCTCAATAAAAGCATCCCAAGGTTATACATTTATCACACGATATTCACATTACTAAGAGATTATTATAATAGGTTTTCAATTTAATTAAATGGCATTATCAGTTAACTTCGATCACTGTGTCAACCTAACCTGCTTTTTGTATATTTAGAGAATGCTCTTATGTTTTATTTTTTAAATTAATCTATTTGGGGCTGGCGCTGTGGTGTAGAAGGTGAAGCCTCCCATATGGGCACCGGTTCAAGTCCTGGCTGCTGCACTTCCAATCTAGCTCTTTGTCAATGCACCTGGGAAAGCAGCAGAGGATGGCCCAAATACTTGGGCCCCTGCACCTATATGGGAGATCCAAAAGAAGCTCCTGGCTCCTGGCTTCAGATCAGTGTTTACATTCAGCACGCTCTTTTGTGTAATAAAATCTAACAGCATTCTTCACTACCATCATCTTAGCGAACACACAGAAGTACACCGAGGAACAACTGTCCCACCAGGGGTACGGAAGACGAAACAGGGAAGACAAACGCTTTCATAAATGTGCAAATATCAACAGCAGCTACGGAGGAACAGAAAAAGGAAGTTCATATTCTCTAGTGTCCTCTATGTTTGAAATTTGATTTTTAAAAATAGTTATTTATTTCAAAGAGTTACAGAGACAGAGGAGAGAGAGATATCTTTCACCTGCTGGTACACTCCCCAAATTGCCATGGTTGGGTCTGGGTCAGGCCAAAGCCAGAAGCCACGAATTCCAGCCAGGTCTCCATTTGGGTGGCATGGGCCCAAGTACTTGGGTCATACTCTGCCACATCCCCAGGCTCATTAACATGGAGCTGGATGGAAAGTGGAGCTTCTGGGACTCACAGTGGCACTCATATGGGATGCTAGCATCACTGTGCCACAGCACCGGGCCCTGACATTTGATTTTTACCTTTCCTCTCTATGCTGTTTGCTCCAACTGTATAAATTGTACATCAAAAAGTTATAAAAATGAAATTTTGATGCACATATTAAATTCAGTATTAAAAACAGACACCTATTAACACAGCTAGGACCAGACTTAACAGCAATTTTAAGCAGCTTTGTAGGAGAATCCTGTAAGCAGTTGTATTTTAAAGAAAAGACAATAAGGTGAAGATCTTTGCTTTGCTGGGAACTAAATCAGCAACAGTTTTGTACCCAGATATAGGCCAAGCATAGCCATGTGTTAGTGTAAAAACCAGACAATTTCTGACAAACACTGATATGAATTAAAACCATGTGGTCCCATCTTAGACCAAATCCCAGGGATGGGTCCCATGTGGTGCGGCAGGTAAGATGTCGCTTGGGACGCCCACATCCCGTCAGAGCGCCTGGTTTCAAGGCCTGGCTCCACATGTGCACCCCAGGAGGTAGCATGTGTTGGCTCAAGTGCCTGGTCTCCCGGCTTCAGAATGGCCTAAGCCCAGCCGTTGTAGGCATTTGGGGGATGAAATCAACAGATCGAAGCTCTCTCTCCCTCTCTTTTCAAATAAAGAGAAAATCAATGAGTGAAAATGTTTCTAGAATTAAAACTGAATCTGCAATTGACAGCAGATGCGAACAGAGGGTTATGAGAGCTGAGGGTGGCCAGGAGGGCTGGGGTTCCAGATGCTAACAGGCTCAGCCACCACCCACACCGCCACAGACAGGACTGAAGAAAACACCGAAGTTCAATTCATTCTCTCTTTAAAATCAAGAATAGGAACCAAGTGGAAAAGGGAAGTTTGTCCATAGGGAAAGTGGAATGTAAATGAAACAAAATAGAGGGGCCGGCACTGTGGCACAGTGGGTTAACGCCCTGGCCTGGAGTGCCGGCATCCCATATGGGCGCTGGTTCGAGACCTGGCTGTTCTACTTCCAATCCAGCTCTCAGGTATGGCTTGGGAAAGCAGGAGAAGATGGCCCAAGTCCTTGGACCCCTGCACCTACATGGGAGACCCGGAAGAAGCTCCTGACTCCTGGCTTTGGATTGGTACAGCTCCAGCTGTTGCAGCCAATTGGGGAGTGAACCATCAGATAGAAAACCTCTCTCTTCCTCTCTCTCTGCCTCTCCTTTCTCTGTATAACTCTGACATGAAAATAAATAAATAAATCTTAAACCAACAAACAAACAAACAAAACAGAAACAGAAACAAGATAGAACATGTGAGCAGAGACCGAGGGGGCAGCTGATGGGAGGAACTTGGCCTCACTGCCACCCTCTCCAGAGGTCCCAGCCCTCTGGGAGCAGAGCAGCCTGGCCTGCCCCAACCTGGGGAGCCCACTTCCCCAGTGCAGGCGACCTCACAACCCAGAAGGAAGAGGAAATCACTATAGCATTTTTGCACATTCTTTCCTTTGATACAAACTAACCTGTGAGTTGCTCTCAATTTAAGGAGAAAACAAGAAATCAGGTAACTCACTTGAGATTTCAGTTTACAACATGGGCCTGAAACCAAGTTTCCAAGGCGTTGTGCCTGGAGACCATGACAAAGACGAAGGGCAGTGTGTCCCCACCCTACTAGGATGCTAGTTCTGTGCTAGGTCACTGTGTACAGAGCTCACGTCTCAGAGGCCTTCTGTTCTGTCCTGAGAGGCACACTGCACCTTGTCACCCGCAACACAAACCAAGTCTCACAGTGAAAGCTGTGGGAGCTGCTCTGGGTATGGGACATCACACACAGCCGATTGGCACACACCATGTCTTTCTAAAGATGGACAGCAAGGCCTAACCAAGACTCTTTTAAACATGGAATTGATATTTGTGAAGACCTCTTATGAGATGTAGAAGTTTAAATCTTATTTAACCAAACATTCAACCACTTTCACTAAAAAAGAAGAGAATAACAGCAAATGAGTACAACACAGGAAAAATGAATGAAATGTATGAAGGCAGCTCGATTTATAGCTGGCACATGTCACGCATGACACCAATCTTATTCCAGGAAATCCAAGAGAACACTCACACTCTCAGTACACTGACCACTGAACAACCAGTCTTCTATCTGCTGCCACCTGAGCCACACACACAGCAAAACCAACCCTGCTGGCTGTGCTCCTGCTGGAGGGGACGGGACAGGGACACCGCTCCTTCACTGTGGAACCCCTTCCTCCACCACACACAGCGTCACACACAGCAGACCCCTCAGGCAGGGAGAGCACCGTGCTGGGGAGGGGCTGCAGGGAAAGTTGCAAGTCCAACTTCCGGATCCGGCTATCGGCTGTACAGGCGCCCACCTGTAACTGTCCTTCGAATCTTACCTGCCTGTGCACTCCTCTCTAAGTGCTGCGTAATTCACACATAGTACCATGTAACGTTAGAAAGAACCAGAGTCTAGTCATGTGCCCATATTTACCATAAATAAATTCAACCTTGAAGGTTCAGCAAAAAAATCCTCATACTCCCATCAGCAGCTCTTCCTGGCCCTGCATCACAGGAAAGAAACTGGCCTTGATGAGAAATGGCACGGCGCCCCAAACAACACGCAACACGTATTTCTGAGGATAATTCAGTCTATACTGGATTTCTTTTTTTTCTTTTTTTTTTTTTTTTACAGGCAGAGTGGACAGTGAGAGAGAGAGACAGAGAGAAAGGTCTTCCTTTGCCGTTGGTTCACCCTCCAATGGCCGCTGCGGCCGGCGCGCTGCGGCCGGCGCACCGGGCCGATCCGGTGGCAGGAGCCAGGAGCCAGGTGCTTTTCCTTGTCTCCCATGGGGTGCAGGGCCCAAGCACCTGGGCCATCCTCCACTGCACTCCCTGGCCACAGCAGAGGGCTGGCCTGGAAGGGGGGCAACCGGGACAGAATCCAGTGCCCCGACCGGGACTAGAACCCGGTGTGCCCGCGCCGCTAGGCGGAGGATTAGCCTAGTGAGCTGCGGCGCCGGCCTATACTGGATTTCTGCATTAAGTGTTGGTTTAGATGTAATCCCTTTTAAGATGCCAGGCTAGTGTAATACAAACCCAACCTCAGAAAAAAATAGATACAGAAACATTTAGCTGCTACAAAATGTAAGCCCAATGCAAATTCCTTTAATATATGTAAAAACAGTTATACTTACAGGGTTAAAAACATAACACTACCCCAGAACCACAAATATCTGATTTTGCCCTAATTTCACTTAATAAATACTCCTAAGAAGTGTTTTTTGAAGATTCAAACAATGGCTCTAAGGATAACTTTCAACCTTTTCTTGAAGAATGATTAATTGAGGGGCCGGTGCTGTGGCGTAGCGGGTTAACGCCCTGGCCTGAAGTGCCGGCATCCCATTCGGGCGCCAGTTCAAGTCCTGGCTGCTCCACTTCTGATGCAGCTCTCTGCTATGGCCTGGGAAAGCAGTAGAAGATGGCCCAAGTCCTTGGGCCTCTGCACCCATGTGGGAGACCCAGAAGAACCTCCGGGCTCTTGGCTTCGGATCGGCGCAGTTCCAGCCATTGCGGCCAATTGGGGAGTGAACCAGTGGATGGAAGACCTCTCTCTCTGCCTCTCCTCTCTCTGTGTAACTCTGACTTTCGAATAAATAAATAAACAAATCTTTAAAAAAAAAAAAAAGAATGATTAACTGAACAGTTTGCTTCTAATTCCATTAACAAAACACAGGTATTTAAAGGGCAACTAAAAAATGAACAGCATCACTCACAGTGCATCCAGGCTGAGGCGGGTTCTCGGTGGGTTTTACTTCATTCTGTCTCTGTGTGGACTCAAGGAAGACCTCGTCCCAGAGCCCTTTCTCAATCAATTCCTTGGAAATAAACGTGCAATCACAGTGATCAAAACATCAAGTTAATTAAGCAATAAGATAAAATGTTTCAGAAAATGTGAGCTTGAGGTGAACAGAAACCTTACCTTCTTGATTCTGGAAAGTTCAGTCACTGCTTGCTTATTTCCAGGCTCCAGGAGTAAAACCGTTTCAAAATCTAAAGTGAATTATTTAAAAATATGGTAATCTAGTCTGTAGATCTGTGATACATCTAGTCTGTTAGCCCATTTAGATCTCAGGAGTTCACAGGGACCAAGTGCCCTGAGGGCTCCTCCAGCTGTCGTACACGGACCCTGTCCTCCGACCCACTCTACAGAGGATGTGGCTGAGGTCCTTCTCCTGTCACTCCTGCCTTTGTCCTGCGTTTCTCCTTCTCATCTGTAATTCAAACATCCCACAGATCAGCCTGAGTGCGCTGGGGCTATCAGAGACCCTCAGGTGCACTCTGCCAGCTGCATCCCATCGAACCTACTGGTGATCACCAGAGCAAGCAAGTGCACCACACTAAGCCGGGAAGCCCTGACCCACGGAGCCACGGACAGCTGCGTGGCCGCTCTGTGCCTCAGCCGAGTGCCACTGCTGCCGTCTTACCTTGCCTGGCCTCACTCAGCTTCCCCAAAAGGGTCCTTGCAGTTCCTCTTCTGGCAAAAGCTTTGGAGTAGGAGCCGTCCAAAGCAATAGCGCGAGTGCAGTCTTCCTCAGCTTCTCTGTATCTATCAAACGGGACAGAACTGCCAGTTGGAAAATGCAGCTTACAGGAGACGTCTTACAAACTAAAAGCACAAAAAGCCACACTGCAGTCCCTCCATCTGAGTCTCCATTCCAGCCTCATTCAGTTTCCTGCTGATGCAAACCCTGCAAGGCAGCATGAGTGGGCTTCTGCCACCATGTAGGAGACACGAATTGAGTTTCTGGCATCAGTCCCCTGGCCAGTTAGGAATTTGGGGAGTGAAGCAGGAGATGAGAACACCATCCTTTTTCTTTCTACTAAATATTTTTGAATAATTTTACAAAAACATAGATGATGGGTACACAGGCTAAGAATACTACTTCCATGAAAGTTTGAGAAGTTTGCAAAAAAAGGTTTTTTTTAAGAATTTTCCAGGGCCGACATTGTGAAGTAGCAGATAAGGCTGCCACCTGGGACATCTGCATCCCATATGGGCACCAGTTTGTGTCCCGACTGCTCCACTTCCCATCCAGCTCCCTGCTAATATGCCTGGGAAAGCCACACAAGATGGCCCAAGTGCTTGGGTCCCTGTACCCACATGGGAGACCCAGAAGAAGCTCCTGGGTCCCGGCTTTGGTCACCTGGGGGATGAAGCAGATGGAAGATCTCTCCCTCTCTAATTCAAATAAATAAATGTTTAATAAAAAAAAAATCCCACGAATACATTATCCCCAAGGCCTGCAGCAATATCCTCCCATCCTCCAAATGAGGCTTCATTTGAGCTAACTCAGAATTTCTAATTTTTTGTTTGTTTATTTGGAAGGCAGAGAGACAGAAAGAGATCTTCCACCCACTGGTTCAGCACCCAGATTTCACAACAAGGGCTGGTCCAAGCTGAAGACAAGAGCCTGGAGCTCAATCTGGGTCCCCCATGAGGGTAGCAAGGGCCACCCCTGCTGCTCCCTAGGGTGCGAATCAGCAGGAAGCAGGAACTGGAGGTGGAGCTGGGACTTGAACTCAGGCACTCCAATATGCGATACTGGGGTCCCAAGCAGCATCCCCTAGCCACACCTGCTTGGAGATGTGGAATGTGTGGCAAGGATCACCCCAAGTCTAGTGGCCTTATCCAACCTCACTTCACCTGTCTTCAAACACCTTTTTACTTTGACTTGCCTGTATCTTAAAACGCAGCTCCGCATTTTGTAGTGTCAATGAAAAAGCCAGCACGTAACTCAGTACTAGCTAACGTGCCATATCAGAGCACATGTTCACAGTAAAAGCATCAGCGTGTAAGCAGCACTCACTTCTCTATCCTCAGGTAGGCCATGGCTCTGTTTGCAGGGAGAAGGGCATTCGTGCCGTCCGCTGCCATCCCTCGGGTGTAGCATTCAATCGCCCTTTCATACTTCCCCTCTTTGAAAAATCCATTCCCCTATCATTGGAGAGAACAGCATGGAGAAAAATTTTAAAAAAGCAAAGATGCTAAATGACTTCAAACCTTAAACACTACAAGGACACCCATCAATACTAGATCAGCAACTTAAAGGCACAAAGGTAGCCCATGAGACGTGGTTCAGACTTCACTCATCTAGGCTATGTGTTTACAGGTTCTTTTCAGGAATAAAATGTAAACTACTACTTTGCAGCATTCATTATCACCCTAGTCAACATTATATCAAGCTTAAATTTATAAACTCATTTTAATGAAGGCCCAAATATTATAATTTTTAGTTTCATGAGTAGTTGTAAAAAGAACTTCACAACTGAAATAATTTTTGTGGATGGACAGAGTGGCATTGCACAGGCCTCCTTCAGTTACATCAACACACCTACATGCAAGATAAACTAAACTGTACTAGGACACACACACATTTCATCATTACATTTATTCAGAATCAGAGCCAGACATGGCACAACCAAAAATTCCGTAAGTACTGAATCAGGAACCCTGTGTGAGCTCTGAAGAGCTCTAAATCCATTAAATTCACCCTCGGCGTAGTTGTGCACAGAAACTTCCCTCAGAAACGGTGCAGTCCAAGTGCACTGAAGGACAGACCGTAATTCACTGCTGTGCCTAACGCCCATCTGCACACAAACATGCAAAATCTCCCGGCAGGAGTTTGCTTGTTACGCCTAATGTTTCTACAGGCACACTTTTTTAGAGACCCACATGACAGGTCATCAGTCACTCAAATTTTGAATTAGTTGGCTTCTCAGGTTTCAATGTATTCAACTTCCAGTTCCTACTGAAGAAAAATGACAACAGAAACTTCTCTGATGACAAGCGATGAAGAGCAAAACAGACACCGTGTAAAGAGCTCAGGTTACCAGGTCCTTCTGCGCCATGGCCTGCTGCCGATTCTGTTCCTCCGTGGGCGTTCCCTCTCCCTCAGGTGACCTCCCCACCACGGCTGCTCCTGTGGGCTGTGAGCTTCCTCTGGACAGTAAAGCCTAAGAGACAGCACCCGGCTTCAGTAAGCAGGTAAGGGCATGAGGCACACATTATGTGCCTGATACTGAGATTTCTCCCACACTTCCAATTACTCACTGAACAACATTTCCACTCTAATTCTAAACCTTTCTACTTACCAAAGTAAAAAACAAAAACAAAAAATGAATAAAAACTTACTCTAATTAAAATAAGTATCCACTAAAGGAAGCTGCTCATTTATTTAGTCACCAAATATTTACTGAATTTCTACACACCCCAGGCACTGTTCTAGGAGCTATTTTCAAACACAGAAATTAATCAAGATTTCATCACTGCGGGGCGGCACTGTGGCATAACAGCTAAAGCTGCCACCTACAGTGCCGGTATCCCATATGGGTGCCGGTTTGAGTCCCGGCTGCTCCACTTCTGATCCAGCTCTCTGCTATGGCCTGGGAAAGCAGGAGAAGATGGCCCAAGTTCTTGAGCACCTGCACCCGCGTGGGAGACCCAGAGGAAGCCTCCTGGCTCCCAGCTTCAGACTGGCGCAGTTCCAGCCATTGTGGCCAACTGGGGAGTGAACCAGCACATGGAAGACCTCTCTCTCTCTCTCTCTACCTCTCCTTTTCTCTGTGTTTAACTCGGACTTTCAAGTAAATAAATAAATCTTAAAAAAAAAAAAAAAATTTCATCACTGATTTTCTCTAGCATTGTCATTATTTGACCAAGGACAGAAACACAAGGATACACAACACTCTACAGCTCTCGAATGCAATCAAGTGGTAACATTTAAGAGCAGATTTTCTCCAAATGCTGTCACTTTTTTCTGAATGCTTCATGATGGCAAAGCAATTATAACTTTGACTCAAAGGCAAAGTGTAACTGCTCAGTATCATTAGACAACTGATTCTAAATGTAAGCGATAACTATTGTTGAAAAATTAGTAACGTGTATGTCAACATACAATCTATAAAGAAGGAGCAACTTAAAAAGTACAAAATCAAAGAAATGTGCTCACTTTAGTACAGAAATCAGAATACAAGCTAGGAATAGAAAATCAGTGGGGTAAAGAAAAAGGAATTGTGGCGCAGCAAATTAAAGCCCTGGCCTGAAGCACCAGCATCCCATATGGGCACCAGTTCTAATCCCAGCTACTCCTCTTCCAATGCAGCTCTCTGCTATGGCCTGGGAAAGCAGTGGAGGATGGCCCAAGTCCTTAGGCCCCTGCACCCATGTGGGAGACCCAGAGGATGCTCCTGGCTCCTGCCTTCGGATTGGCGCAGCTCCAGCCATTGCGGCCACCTGGAGAGTGAACCAGCAGATGGAAGACCTCTCTCTGTCTCTTTCTCTGTAACTCTTCAATAAATAAAATAAACCTTCCCCAATTGGCTGCAACGGCCGGAGCCATGCCAATCAGAAGCCAGGAGCCAGGAGCCTCTTCCGGGTCTTCCACGTGGATGCAGGAGTCCAAGGACTTGAGCCATTTTCTGCTGTTCTCCCAGGCCACAGTAGAGAGCTGGATTGGAAGTGGAGTAGTCGGGACTTGAACTGGTGTCCACATGGGATGCCGGCACTGCAGGCAGCGGCTTTACCCACTACACCACAGCACTGGCTCCTCAGCCAATTTTTAAAATGAGGATCAGTTGAAGAACTTTAAATTATACTACCTTAACTCACAACTAGTACAACTAAAATTTAATAGTACAACTAAAATTAGATCGTTTCTGTACTAAGAAATCTACTGCACAAACTATGCATAAGCTCTTTGTCAAATAAAGGTTACATTAATGGGCCGGCGCTATGGCATAGCGGGTAAAGCCACCGCCTGCAGTGCTTGCATTCCCTGTGGGTGCCATTTCATGTGCCAGCTACTCCGCTCCCATCCAGCTCTCTGCTATGGCCTGGGAAAGCAGTAGAAGATGGCCCAAATCGGTGGGCCCCTGTACCTGCATGGGAGACCTAGAGGAAACTCCTGGCTCCTGGCTTTGGATGGCTCACCTCTGGCTGCGCCATTTTAGGGGTGAACCAGCAGGTAGAAGACCTCCCTCTCTAACTCTTTCAAGTAAATAAAAAAAAATCTTAAAAAAAAAATTTTTTTAAAGATAAAATGCTTTCTGTAAATAACTACAGCTTACCTGATTAATCTTCCGAAGTTCATTTGTTGCTTCAAAGTTATCTGGTTCCAATTCTAATACTTTTTCATAATCTAAGTAAAATAGAAGAGAAAGAATTCTTGAAAGAAATTTTAAAACTTACGTATGTACAATGATCCCTTCTGCCAGTGACTAATGGCAACTGTGCTAGAGCAACTACTGACAGCAGGCCACTGCCTTCTTCTCGCGCTGCCCGGGCAGACAAAGCCGCCCAGGCAAGACGCCTGCCCTCCTGAGCCCCACCTCAGAAGGCCAAGAAGCAGCAAAACCCAGCTAGATGTCAGCTTTTCTCACACCTCGTGCTTTATACTACGTAAATCTATTTTATGAAACAGCAGGACTAAGAATCTACAAATGAACAAAAACACCTCAGAGTTTCACTCATGATACCTCCTGTCTCATGGTAGCCAACAAGACATTTTAACCTCTTTTACAGACAAAAAACCGGAGAAGACATTGGTCACACACAGGCACGAGGCGGGAGAAGCAGAATCAGGAGCGCCCACTCCTGCCTCCCATCAAGAAGCTAAGGTCCAACCCACAAGTACCAGCTGACTCCAGATCCTGGAGGCAACAGGTCATAGGTCAAGTGGGTGTGTCCCTGCCACCCATGTGGAACACCTGGACTGAGTTCCTACCTCCCAGCTTTGGCCCCCAGCACCATCCATTATGGGCATTTGGAGAATGAACCAGAGAGGTTCATTCTCTTTTTTTTCTTTCTCTCTCTCCCCCCCTCTCAAATAAGTTTGTTTAAAAAGCAGAGCTGCAGGCCGGCTCTGTGATTTAGCAGGTAAAGCCGCCACCTGCAGTGCTGGCATCCCATATGGGCACCGGTTCAAGTCCCGGCTGCTCCTCTTCTGATCCAGCTCTCTGCTGTGGCCTGGGAGGGCAGTGGAGAATGGCCCAGGTGCTTGGGCCCCTGAACCAGCGTGGGAGACCCAGAGGAGGCTCCTGACTCCTGGCTTCAGATCGGCTCAGTTCCGGCCACTGTGGCTATCTGGGGAGTGAACCAGAAGATGGAAGACCTCTGTTTCTTTGCTTCTGCCTCTCTGTAACTCTGCCTTTCAAGTAAACAGATAAATCTCAAAAACAAACAAAACAAACAAACAAAAAAACAGAGCTGAAGTCCCATTAGTTCTTTCTCTAAAACTTTAAGATACCTTTTATATTGCAAAACCGAGGGGTTCAAATATTGCACGGAGATTTCTCCAAAGGGAGCAGCTGTGCCCGCGCAGTGCTCTGTGAGCCGTCTGTAACTGTTAAATGTTTTTTAGAAATGAGGACCTGGAACACAGTAATACCTTTTTTGGCTTCCTCTAATTTCTGCAAAGCAGATCGAGCAGCGCCCCGCCTGGCGTACGCCTTTGCATAGCTTCGATTCAAGGCTATGGCTAAATTACAGTCAGACTCAGCAACCGCAAACCTGGAATTAAAAAGTAAAACAAACGAAGTTGGTAGAAACTTTCATTTCATCAAAACTGCAAAATGTGCTTCTGAAACCCTCAAAAGAAGACTTGCTTCCACACGAAGGTGTGCCTCCACCTCCTCTCTCTTAGTCAGCCTGGGAAAGCTGTAACTTAATGATGGAAGGCTAGAGCACAGAAATATTCCTTTAACACAGGAGCAAGAACGGCCAACACCACTGCCTTCTCGGTACTGCACTACCGGTCCTCGCCGATGTGGTTCCACGGGAAAAAACACCAAGTACACTGGAAACACAGACCAAACGATGGACTACACAGAAACTCAAAGCAGTGCTCAAAGTCCTGAAGTTCAGCCAGGCGGCCGATTTCCTATGCGACAACAAACCACTCTCAGTCCAGAGGCAGAACACTGCCCGTCTGTGTCAGATTCTGAAGAAGATGGAAGTGAGGCACCTCACACAACTCTGCAGGAAGACACAGAACACAAAGTAACACTCTCCGAGATGACACACAAGTCCAAGGCAATTCTAATCAAAATCCCGACAGGATGTTTCCAGGAACTAGAGAAGATGATTCTCGAATTTCTACTGATGGGGCAAAGTCAAAGGATTCCCAGGACGTTCCCAAAGACACACAGGAAGGAGGATCTGCCCGATACGGAGCAGCACAGCTTACTATAGAGTCTACAAAGACCAAAGACGCAGGAATCAGCAACACAGAAAAAGCAGGAACAAAGAAGGAGACAGAGACCCGGAGACCCAGGTCCATGCGGTGCTGCAGACCCACTCCACAGACAGGCTGCTCCTGCTCAAACCAACCTGGAACCCTACTGCCTGCATGCATGCAAAGACTTGCATGTGAAAAGCAAGCCTTCAAAACTTTGGAAGAAAACAGAAAAGACTGATGAATGCAGGCAGCAAACTATTAAGTCATTTTTAAAGAGCTACTCTTTTTTAAAAAGCCAATAAGCTGAAATATATTAAACTGAGAAGTTCTGTTTGGAAATACCCTATTTTTATAACGCAGTATTATAGATTTGAGATTACTACCAATAAAAAAGAATTCTGTTTATCAACAGTCCAAAAAGAAGGAGCCCTGTGGCACGCAGCGTAAGCCACGGCACTGTCTGGTCCGAGTCCCAGCTATTCCACACTTCTGACCCAGCTTCTGCTAACGCACCTGGGAGGCAGCAGATGATGCCTGAGTACCTGAGCTCCTGTCACCCACAGAGGAGACTTGGGTAGAATTTCTGGCTCCTGGCTTTAGCCTAATCCATCTCTCACTACTGTGGGCTTTTGGAAAGGGAACCAGCAGATGAAGAGCTCTGTCTCTCCATCTCTCTCTCTGTCACTCTTTCAATTAAATAAATCTTTAAAAAAAAAAAAAAAAAGTAAGCTACAAACTGGCAAGGATAGTGATTACAAATAAGTGCTAAAGGATTACTGTCCAGAATAAAGAACTCTTAAAATTCAATAGAAAAATTCAGCAGAAAAATGGCCAAAAGAAAAAATAGGCATTTCACAGGGAAAAAACCTAAGTGGCAAGTAAACATATAAAAAAATGCTCAATCTCATTAATAATTGTAGAAATGCAAATGAAGACACAATAAACTACCCATTTCACATACATGAGGCTGAAAACATTCAAGTGTTGGAAGGGAATGGCACGGGCATCCTATGCACTGCTAACAGGCACACAAACTCACACAGCTGCTCACCAGCCTATGAAGAGAGCCATCTGTGCACCTCAGGTCCAACACTAAGAAAGACACATGGAACATTCCAGCAGCACTGTCTGATCTGGGGAGGAAAGGACAGAGGGAAGGCAGGGGGCAGAGGGAGAAAGGAGCCAACGATTCAGACAGGAGGATGAGTACACAGCAGTGTATTCCGAAAGGAAACTCCAGAGAGCAAAGGAAACAAGAGGATCTACAGCCAACCACCATTCATGCAAGTAACACTCAGAGAAGCGGGCACACCTCAAAAGACTACCACCAGTATGACCGACTTTGTGAAGCACAAATACAGCAACTCTACGCGCTACATCATTTAGGGAGACTTACACACCTAGTGAACCATTTTTCATCAAGAGAATGCTAGTATAAAAATCAAGCTAGCTGGGGTGGGTAACAGGGCATGGTGGGCCAAGACACATCCCCTACAGATGCACCTGGGAAGGCAACGGATGATGCCCTGGTGCTTGGGCCTCTGACACCCAGTGGGAGAGTGGACAGTTCCTTGGGCCTAGCTTCAGCCTGGCCCAGCCTTGGCTGTTGCAGGCACTTAGTGAGCCAGCAGATGGAAGATCTCTCTTTCTCTCTCTCCCCACCCCCACCCCCACCCCCACCCTGCCTTTAAAACAACAAATGTTTTTAAAAAATAAATCAATGTGTTAACCTGGAACGGAGGGCTAGCACAGAAAATGTAAAGAAGCCTCATGGTAGCTTCAAAAATAATAATGTTCTGGGGCCGGTGCTGTGGCTCAGCGGGTTAATGCCCTGGCCTGAAACACTGGCATCCCATACGGGTGCCGGTTCTAGTCCTGGCTGCTCCTCTTCCGATCCAGCTCTCTGCTATGGCCTGGGAAAGCAGTAGAAGATGGCCCAACTGCTTGGATCCCCGCACCCACGTGGGAGACGCAGAAGAAGCTCCTGGCTCCTGGCTTCAGATCAGTACAGCTCCGGCCACTGCGGCCAATTGGGGAATGAACCAGCGAATGGAAGACCTCTCTCTCTGCCTCTCCTCTCTCTGTGTAACTCTGACTTTCAAATAAATAAATAAATCTTTAAAAAAATAATAACAATGTTCTGTCTCCTAAGTTGCGGGTTTATTTAAAATTATTCTTTTCTAATTCATATATGAAAAATCCTTTAACACTTCATCAAAAGTGTTATGAAAAAACTACATGGTTCAACTTTTGCACTTACCTTTAATTTTGTTTTCCATGAACTTTTTAAGTCCTCTCATATGTAACACACAGTATACTTCAGAAATCAAATACTGCAAAATGTTAACATTCCCCTAACTTGCATGGATACTAGCATTACAAGGATGAAAATCTACAAGCATGACAATAAAGTAGTAAAGACTCAGACACTAATGCAATTCATATTTCCAAATAATTAAAACAGTAGGAATGTGTTCCTGGATGGTATTTACCTTTTTAAACATTCTTGATAGCTCCGTTACCTTTGTATAATACAGTAACACCCTTATGCTCCTCAACAATAAATCTGAACTTAGAGTCAATATGACTTAAAGATACACAAATGCTAAACATTTTTTCAATTTTGTTTCTACTATATTTTAATATGCTTATAAATTTGTTTGAGAGAGAAAGAGATTGAGAACCAGACATGACATTGGTCCTGTCCATCGGTTCACTCCACAATGGCCAGGGCCACAGCCAAGATTGGGGAACTCAGTCCAGGTTTACTTGTGGGTGGCAGGGCCTGAATCATACTACCAGGGTTTGCGGCAGCAGGAAACTGGAACTGGGAGACAGAACCAGGATCCCGACCACTAGGCCAACCACTCGCCACTAGAACACATCTTACACTTCCCATAAGGAAACTGATCTGGATTAAACAGTGAATAAAATTTTTTTCAAAGTAAAGAAGGAAATGAAGCAAGTTAACCGATAGACATTTTTATTCCGCTCCCTCCTTCTGTGAACTGGGTAAAGAACACCAGGACCGGGTCCTGAGGACGACTCCTTGGTAAAGTGAGGGATGGGAGCACAGCTTGAACACCAAGGTTCATGATGGCACAGGCAACTCCATAGAAGCGAGCAGCTATAAACACTCACAGCTGAACAGAAATGCAATCCTTCCATCCACCCCAGACACTTTTTGAAAAAAGATCCTTTTAAAACTCAGTCTCTGGCCGGTGCCGCGGCTCACTAGGCTAATGCTCCGCCTTGCGGCGCCGGCACACCGGGTTTTAGTCCCGGTCGGGGCGCCGGATTCTGTCCCGGTTGCCCCTCTTCCAGGCCAGCTCTCTGCTGTGGCCAGGGAGTGCAGTGGAGGATGGCCCAAGTGCTTGGGCCCTGCACCCCATGGGAGACCAGGATAAATACGTGGCTCCTGCCATCGGATCAGCGCGGTGCGCCGGCCGCAGCGGCCATTGGAGGGTGAACCAACGGCAAAAAAAAAGAAAAACCCTTTCCCCCCGGGCCCCCCCTCTCCTCCCATCCCGGGCGGGGGCGGGAAAAAAAATTCAGTCTCGGGCTGGCGCTGTGGTACAGCAGGTTAAAGCCCTGGCCTGAAGCGCCGGCATCCCATATGGGCGCCAGTTCTAGTCCCAGCTGTTCCTCTTCTGATCCAGCTCTCTGCTATGCCCTGGGAAAGCAGCAGAAGATGACCCAAGTCCTTGGGCCCCTGCACCCACGTGGGAGACCCAGAAGAAGCTCCTGGCTCCTGGTTTCCAATCGGCACAGCTCCAGCCGTTGCGGCCATCTGGGGAGTGAACCAGCAGATGGAAGACCTCTCTCTCTATCTTTCTCTGTAACTCTGTCTTCCAAATAAAAATAAAATAAATCTTAAAAAAAACTCAGTCCCTACACACACCTACAAGAGCAGACACTCCTCCCTTTGCACATGATGCAGTGCCTTACTTTTTCAACCTGAAGTACGCTGACGCTCTGTTTGTTGGTAACACAGGATTATAGGGATCAGCGTCCATGCCTTTCGTGTAGCATTCGATTGCCTCGTCATATTTTCCTTGCTTGAAGTATTTATTGCCCTGAAAGGAGACATAAGGAAAATGGTCTTTTAGAAAAATGTCTGTTTTGGGGCCGGCGTTGTGACGTAGTGGGTGAAGCCACCGCCTGCAGTACTGGCATCCCATATGGGCGCTGGTTCGAGTCCCAGCAGCTCCACTTCCAATGCAGCTCTGCTGTGGCCTGGGAAAGCAGTGGAAGATGGCCCAAGTCCTTGGGCCCTTGCACCTGTGTGAGAGACCCGGAAGAAGCTCTTGGACCCGAGCTTCAGACAGGTGCAGCTCCAATCGTTGAGGCCAACTGGGGAGTGAACCAGCAGATGGAAGACCTCTCTCTCTCTCTCTCTCTCTCTCTGCCTCTGCCTTTTGTAACTCTGCCTTTCAAATAAATAAATAAATCTTATGGGAAAAAAAAGTCTGCTTATTTTCATCTACTTGAAAGGCAGAGCAAGAGAGAAAGATCTTCCACATGCTGATTCTCAGCCCAAAAGGCTGCAGTAGCAAGGACTGGGCCAGGCCAAGGCCAGGGGCCTGGAACTCCATCAGGTTCTTCCACATGGGTGGCAAGGGCCCCTCCACAGCAGCCTCCCAGGATGGGTTAGCAGGAAGCCATATTAGAAATGCAGTAACAGAGATTCAACCAGCACTGACAGGAGATGTGGGCATCGTAAGCAGCAGTCCAACCCACTGGGCCACAACACAAGCCCCCCGTGGTCTCTATAAACGTGCAGAACTTCACTGCACAGTCCTAATATGGGCACCACAATACCCACTCATGGAAAAACAGGCGTCAAGATGAAGTTTAACCTGAGAAGAGTTAACCTTTCCAAAAAGCAATGTCGCTGGATTTAAAGCAAGGCGGTGTGCCTCAAGATGTTCCACGTTCCAGAGTTCCCAGTGACGGCATCTGACATGACATGGAGGAGAGGAGCGGAGAGCAGCACCCATATCCATGGTGTGGAGGAGCACAACACAGGACCCACACCCAAGAGGAGGGGAGGGGAGGAGAGGGATAGGGAGGGGAAGAGAGGAGAGGGGAGCACAGGACCCACACCTGTGAGGAGGGAGCCCAGCTGGGAACTCACACTGTAAGTAATAATCCCAGTACCTCTTGCACCAATACACCAAGGTTAGTAACACTATCAACCTCATTTTGTAACTAAGAAAGCAGAGGGACAGGTAAGTTAAAGAACTTGTCAAGGATCTGACCCTGGTCTTCCTGGCTCCCAGTTTCTGTGACACTGCCTCCCAAATGAACACCCTTGATGATAATATGGAAGTACTTTTATGATCCAGATGGTTTTCTATCTGTGGGAAATATCCTCACCTGTCCGTAAAGAGAACTGCAGCGAAAGCAAGACTGTTACTAGTACTGGTGTAGCTGGATTCGTGTATTGAGACACCAAGGTCTCTTAACAGGAAATAGTCTTTTACCATACCAGCCTAAGTCCAGGTATAATCTCTTATCCAAAATCCAGAACCCAGAACAAAGAGGGTTTTTCTTTATATATGGCGTTAGCCTCTTTGTCTCCTGTATATGTTTGCCTGCATACATCTGGTTACATATTCTAATGTTACATGGCCGCCACAGGATTGAAACAATACTGTGTATGTCAACCTGGTTACTGAAGGTATTTTTTTACACAGATACTGAGCCTTTTTTTTTTGGACAGGCAGAGTGGACAGTGAGAGAGAGAGACAGAGAGAAAGGTCTTCCTTTTTGCCGTTGGTTCACCCTCCAATGGCCGCCGCGGCTGGTGCGCAGCGGCCAGCGCACCGCGCTGATCCGATGGCAGGAGCCACGTATTTATCCTGGTCTCCCATGGGGTGCAGGGCCCAAGCACCTGGGCCATCCTCCACTGCACTCCCTGGCCACAGCAGAGAGCTGGCCTGGAAGAGGGGCAACCGGGACAGAATCCGGCGCCCCGACCAGGACTAGAACCTGGTATGCCAGTGCCGCAAGGCGGAGGATTAGCCTAGTGAGCCGCGGTGCCAGCCAAGATACTGAGCCATAAGCTGTCTGGCAAGGGTTAACACATTGCTCTGTACTAATAAGCAGAACCTAAAGTGGTCACACATACACAGATAAGGACTACAGTATTCACAGGCAAGCAGACACCACACTTCATTCGCGGGACACATGCCTCCCGTTGTCTTCTTTTAACCATGGGAAGGCCTCTACCCCAACTTTAATCATATCAGTTAGATATAAGGCTAATTAAAAGACAGCGGCCTCCGCCACACTGGCCTTGCAAGATCAGGTGTGTGGTGAGCAGGCACACGCAGAGCACTTACAACACAACTTACACCCTAGCATGCAGGTCCCAGCCCTGCCTCCCCACTGGCTGAGGACTGCGGAGTGGACAATACTCTGGCAGTCCCATAAGTGACAAAGCTCTCTTCCTCCTCCCGTCTCTGTAATTTAATCTTCCCTTATGAGCTGGTTGCTCCCTGACACCCTGTGTGCCTTGGGAGTTTTGCTACCCCTGCAGCTCAGTTTACAGTGATTTTCCATTCTGTGTAGAAAATGGACCATCATTTTCTTACATGATTCTGCTTGCCTAAGGGGACCTACAACTACAGAGTACCTTTTCCTTTAGAGTGAGGGCCTTCTGAGAGTCTACACGAATCCCGTCTTCTTCCGACTCTGACTCCTGGGACACAGAATCCTGGGTGCCATCTTCCTTGTCCAGCTCCTCCAAGATGCTGTCCTGAAACCACAAACAGAAGAGTGCAGGTAAGGACATGGCCCACAGAGCAGGAATTAAATGTTCACAACACGACTTAAGCTGCTACAGTGTAAGGACCTAAAGGCTGTAAGAAAACTTCACTGTTAAGATCATATCCAGAAGCACCTCATATGGTCACTGGTTTGAGTCCCAGTGCTCCACTTCTGATCCAGCTTCCTGCTAATTGCCTGGGAAAGCAGAAGACAGTCCAATCTTGGGTCCCTGCACCCCTGTGAGAGACCCAGAAGAAACTCCTGGCTCCTAGCTTTGTTCTGGCCCAACCCTGGCCATTGTAGACATTTGGGGAGTGAACCAGAAGACAGAAGATCTCTGTCTCTCCCTCTCTGTAACTCTGCCTTTCAAATACAAATTATACATTGAAAAAAAGAGAGATCATATACAGAGAAAAGAGTCCAACATGCAGACAAGCGTCTGACTCAGCTCAGAGAGGAGCTGCACTCGTGCCCTGCAGAGCACCAGTGAACCACACACTGCAGCAGTGAGGCACTGAACTCCTTGAAACAGAAGCCAGTTGGCCCGCAGGGTGTGAGTTGGGAACCCAGGCAGGGCGGCCACCCTGTATCCCAGAACAAGGGGGACTGCCACACAAAACTCCCGAGAGCCCCAATCTCTCTTCAGTCACACACTCCTTTTTTTTTAATTTGAAAGAGAAAGAGATCTTCCATCCGCTGGCTCACTCCCCAGATGGCCGCAACAGCGGGAGCTGCGCCGATACGAAGCCAGGAGCCAGGAGCTTCTTCTGGGTCTCCCACATGGGTGCAGTCCCAAGGGCTTGGGCCATCTTCTACTGCTTTCCCAGGCCATTGCAGAGAGCTGGATTGGAAGTGCAGCAGCCAGGGCTAGAACCAGCGCCCATATGGGATGCAGGCACTTCAGGCCAGGGCTTTAACCCGCAGAGCCACAGCACAGGCCCCACACACTCTTTTTAAAACAGATTAGCTATCCCACCCTGTGATGGCTCTTTTGTTTTATCATGAGCAAGCCAGACAGGACAAAGGATTGCAAGTCTTGTCTTTTGTCCCTGCCTTGTAACTGAATGTCAATCTGATAGTCAAGTCTGTTTTTCTTTTTTTCCTCAATATTGTGCTTAAAAACCCTAGTGCAGGCCCGCGCCAAGGCTCACGAGGCTAATCCTCCACCTGCGGCGCCAGCACACTAGGTTCTAGTCCCAGTCGGGGCGCCGGATTCTGTCCCGGTTGCTCCTCTTCCAGTCCAGCTCTCTGCTGTGGCCAGGGAGTGCAGTGGAGGATGGCTCAGTGCTTGGGCCCTGCACCCGCAGGGGAGACCAGGAGAAGCACCTGGCTCCTGGCTTCGGATCGGCGCAGTGCGCAGCCGTAGCAGCCATTTTGGGGGGTGAACTAACGGAAGGAAGACCTTTCTCTCTGTCTCTCTCTTTCACTGTCTAACTCTGCCTGGAAGCAAGAAGGAAGGAGAAGGAGGCAGGAGGAGGAGGAGGAGGAGAAGAGAAGAG